GGAGTTGTTATAATTTTTCTCTCATAATGAAAGGGACCAGGTGTTTGGTTTTTCCAATTGGTGCAAAGTCCCTAAGCTCCTCTTTGAGTTTTTATTTCCATTGGAAAAGCAATGAAAGCAGAGCTTTCAATTGCAACCAAGACTTCTCTGAAATTGACAACTTCCCATGGCCAAGACTTACACCTTATTTTTCACTTCTTTTTTAAACTAATCAGTTTTACATTATTTTGTCCATTTGGAATAAATACCTTTTTCTCTTCTTATAGGTGAAATAGCTCTATTAATGAATCGTCCTCGTGCTGCCACCGTCGTTGCTCGTGGCCCCTTAAAATGTGTAAAGCTTGATCGACCCAGATTTGAGCGTGTCTTGGGTCCATGCTCGGATATTCTGAAACGAAACATCCAGCAGTACAACAGCTTTGTCTCTCTGTCTGTCTGAAGTCTCCCTCCTTCTCAAATATATGCTTCACAAATGCAGACTGTTTCATTACTCTTGTGCAGAGCCACATGGCCACTGGCTATTGCAGCTTCCTGTCTGTCTGGGGAGGGGGGGGGGAGAAAGCAGTTGCTTTTCACATCATTTTAAATTTTAGAGCATTATTTTGGTGCTCCTAGTCCCATTGAAAATAAGGAATTGTATGAAGACTTTTGCTGTTACTGCTTCTCTCTGTGCAATGTACACTGTCCAGTATGGCCAGTGACTGCCATTCCTTTTGCTGGGAACACTTCCTAAGCACCAAGGTTATTGCAGTAGAGTTAAGGATGTAACAGTGGAAAATTCTAAATGGCGCATTCTCAGCAGTGAGTCCTATGTTCCTTTTAGGTTGTGGTCACTCTCTACTGTACTTTTCTCAGACAGAGAAACTTACCGTCTCGGATCATCCTCTTGGCAAAATGTTCTGGATATGGGTGATGTTTGGTTAAGTTTACTGAGATCGGCTTCTAGTAAAACCACAGAAGTTTGATAGTTTTGTGCATCTGTATCCATTGCAAGATGGCTTGGTTATTGTTTGTCAGGTTTTTGTATACAAGCTTTTGTTTTGGCAACTATTGCCAAGTGTTGCTATCTTTGGCACAGCAAAAATTTTTGCCTGTTCTCAGATGTGAATATTTATAATATATGCCTCTCCTAATTTTTCTCAAAAGGCAACCAATGTGCTAAACCCCTGAATATCGGTGTAGGTGTTTACACTAGTGTACTGCTCTTCAGCTAGTGTGAGTTGTAACACCCCGTGCACACTCTAGAACAGGAAACTGAAGGGTGCATCCTATGTATGCAGCCTTATGCCTGCCCTTTCCAAGCTTTGCCTTCCCTGTTAACTTTGGAACCAGAGAGTTCAGTGATGCTATTTATGTAACTGGTGGTCAATGCAGGACGGAATATACAATCTAATTTAGGAAGATGATAGGACTCTGGCTAAAGTGAAAGACAGGAAACAGAAGAATCAGTGCCTGTTTCCTGTTGAACTCCTAAAATATTTAGCTTGAATGAGACACATGCTCTAATTTGTTTTGCCTCACATTCTCATTGATCTAGTGGAATAACTAGTTTTGGAAAGTTAATCCTGTTGTCAAGTCTGAAATGTGTTTCAGTATTTACCAGGTTTGTGTTAACAATATTCTACGTGGCACCCAGTGCCACCCACTAGCTTTATTGAATTTCACAGTTGGATAATGTAGGCAAGTCAGTTTATTTGTAACATAAATTATCTGAAACTACTGTAGAGTTTTATATGGGAGTGGCAGCAAGTGTTTTGCATTAGTTATGCAACTATTTCTTATAAATCCCACTTGCCCGGTTAGTAGCCCCTCCCCTCAGACAATTGGACCTGGTATACACCTTTCTGACTTGTTGGTTGTTGGAAGAAAATTTGCTAATCATATTTTATAGTTTGAGAAATAGGAACCTTAGCATATTTTTAAAAAAACTGTGGGCAGCTGTTGATATGTCCACATATCTAGATTTGGATTAAATGTAAAATATACATTGTGAATTCCTTCTGCTCATCCTAAACACCTTGGTAAGTTAAGGATATCCACCTGCATTCTTCAGAGATCCATAAATGTTACTTTTTTCTCTAAATTCTATTCAGTTTGAATCTATACAGGGATTACTTTTCCTTATACCTTTGTTATTTTTGAAGCTTGATTTGATCCTTGTTGAAGCACCAAAAAGATTTTAAATGTTATGTAAGCGCTACAAAAATGCACATTTTTTTATATAAGGCTTTCTAATCAAGTTTCACTACTGCGTCTTTTTAGCTTGCTGTTTACTCCCTTTTGTAGTTTTACCAACAGGATTTTAAGATGAACCAGCTATGTCTGAGTTAAATATTAATCACAGTTAAAGCTTTACCTTTGTGTGCAATTTAAATATGTTTGAATCCACAGTTGGTATAGTTTGCCTTAGCTAACATTCAGGGCTTTAGAAGATAATCTGTTTTGCTAGGTCACCTTAGCAAATTAAAAAATCTACTGCCCTAGAGTGCTATAGTAAACCAGAGGACCATTTTTGTATTGTTACCTGACTATAAGTCTGACTTACTGTATGTGCTAATATATTCCTTTTGTTATAGATTGTCCTAATGGCAGGTAAAGCAATAAAATGATTTAAATTCTTAAATGTAATCAGTGTTTCATTTTCCTGTGCTGCCCCCCCCCCCCAATGCTGGGCTGGAACAGACTAGCCGGGGATGGTCTTACTTTTTTTTGATACTGGCCCCCATTTTACTTTAGTTAATGTAACATACTTCCTCAGATATTGTTAGATATGAACTTGTCAGCCTTCAAAGTAGATCAGACCAGGAAATGAATGCCAGGTAGGTCCGTACTACTTTTATTGGAAAGCTTTAGTAACAGAATCTTAGAAGTCTGAATGTACTTCCCCCCCCTCCACCTGTGTGTGTGAACTAGGGAGGGGCTTGTTTGAGACGTTCACTCATGTTACGTTGTTGCCCCGACTCAGGCCCCTTTTATCTGATCATTGACTTGATAGTGGCTCTTCCTGTCTCTCACAGCCATTCCCTCTGCCCTGTACATCACTAGGATCTCTATTAGAGGAGCTTCACCTTGGAAAATAGTTACTTGGGTTAAATTATAGTTAGTGCTAGCTTTCTTCTCTGATTCAGAATTTTGACTCATATAAACATATATAACTTCAGTTGGATTCGTAAGAGCAAAAAAGCTTGTTGCAACTGAATTATGTGGAAAATGGAGCCATGGTTCACACATTGCACTAAGACATATCAGTTTTTGGCTTAATGTGGAATGTGGACCTACCCATTATGGTTTAGAGTGTGATGTGCAAACCAGTCCATTACATTTTCTTCAATAAACCATGATTTAAAAATTCCAGCAAATGTCTGAATCAATCATTAGTATATCTTGCTGATTAATTAATGATGAGCAACTAATAAACATGGACTATGCTTTAAAATGTTGAAATTGAACTAGAGGCTGACTGGTCAAATGAATGAAATATTCTGTCACTTTGGCATCAACCTGTGTATGAAAACACAATATTCATAAATAATATGAACGGTTTGTAAGATTACTTGATGAGAGATGATTTACTGGGGTGTTCAATATTGTAGGGGGTTATTAATCCTTTTGATAACCAAATATCTAGACAGACTTCACATATTTGATTATAGCCAACAAATTCATCTTGGGTTTTTCTTTTTATATACTAATGAGTAATAAAGTACACCAGAATTAGTATTTAAGCTTCCCGTATTGAGAAGGACCCACTGTTGAACATCATACATGGCTGATGTTGGCATTACAGAGGAAAACTTAGAAGAGTGCCTAGAAGGTAGAGCACTGAAGGCAGTGACTGTACTTCATGGAAACTGATCAGTTTTCTTTACTGCCTCAGATCCAAAGTGATTATGGTGATGTGTTCCTTTAACTCCATGGCCCTTGGAACCATGCAATTTCTTAACAAAATGTTTTGAATCTTCATACCTGGAAACTATCAGTAGAGGGAGCTGAACTACTGTACAATCATTGACATAAATAACACAATATAACCAATTTGATACTCTTTCATGAACCATGTTCAAAGACGACAAGTGCTGGAGTGAAAATGAAAATGAAAATTTTGGTTATCAAGATGCACAAAATTCAAATATTGAGCTATTTTCCTCCAGGGAAGTTTATGGAGAGTCTCCATGTAATTTGCCCAAAGAAGTTGAAATAATGAATTAGTATCCTTTCAAGTAGCAAAGGTTTGCAGGTGTTGCCATGCTATCCCTGGATTTGTATAGTAAAGCATGAATATGCCTTTTTGTGTCTATAGACAGCAATTGGAAAGTGAACTTTCACATTTCCTGTTTGTAGAAGATCTAGCCTTGGGCATATTAATTGGTAAAAAATTATAAATAGGTCTTAGGATAGGGGTCATAAAGAATATGGGGCTTTCATTGTTAAAACTGAATACACTGTCAGCATACCTCAATATGGAAGCTTTTTCCTAGCCTGGTATTCTCCAAATACACTACCATAATTCTCAACCCCCATGGGTAATAATAGTGAACCTGTTGAAAATTCAGAAAGTTGTCTGAACGGATTTGGAAGTTTGGGTGAAATTCCAACATGGGATAGGAGTTGACACTAGACTCTTGACTTTGTCTTTCTTTGTACTTCCATCATCATACCTCCTATGCTGAATGACTGTCCAAAGCCTAATGGTAATCCTTGGGGGTAGGGGTCAGGCTATTCTGTCCAGACCCCCCCAAAAAAGGTGGGAAAGGATGTGCATGAGCAGAATCTGTGCTGTTAACTTCCACGATTAATGCTTGTAAGGAAAGCTTAAATAGAGGTTGTTTTCAGCTGTGAAACCAACTAATATTTTGAATCACTGGAAGCAGTAGGGGCTCCACATGGAGTTGTGTACATTCCTTGGTGAATTAAATCTGGTACTTGTTTTGAAGGGCAATTGGATAAACACCCCAAGTTTACATGAAGGGGGGTGGAGGTCATGGTTCAGATGACCAGACTTTTAAAAAACTGTACTTTAATGATCTTGCATAAATTTACCAGGGAAAGAATTTAGAACAGTTGATATCTCATTTCCCCAAACACCATGGGTTCACTATCAGCATCATACCCAGTTTTGATGATACATTGTAGTCCAGAGGGCCTGTCATAGTGCTGCCAACCTTAATATTTCCCTTGCCAGAGCTAGATCCAGTTTTAAAACTGGGTGTGTGGACATATCAGTGCTACTAAATACAGAAGTTTTAGAGGAACAAAAATTCCTCTAAAGTGGATCGGTGTGAACATATCAGTGCTACTAAATACAGAAGTTTTAGAGGAACAAAAATTCTTCAAGAAAAAAAAGGGAGGAGAAAAAAAATCAGTACCCAAAGTCAGTGAACACCATGCTTATAGTGTGTTGAAGAGTGGTTATTAGCAAAAATGTGACAGGAAGTGGAGGTTCCTAGAAGAGTGTGCAGTTGACTGAACAGGAGCGCTGTGGTGCAAAATCTTTTTGCAACTTCCATATGTGTTTCAGAACGCGTTTAGACTTGGTGTGGAGTACCTTGGTTCACTTCCTTCTATCACTTACTATGCTGCAGCCCATTTTCTGTTTGCTGCTCTTTACACCAGACTTTGCACTGAAGGCTCTTGTATGTTTGTGTGTTGAGTGTGTGTGTGTGTGTGTGTGTGTGTAAGTTCTCCTTCCACTGTGATACTGCTGCTGTGTGAAAAAGAAGCACCGCTACAGCTAGCTGGTGATGAGACCCCAATCAAGATGCTGCTCCTACAGTTCAATTGTTCCAAAGTGAATGGTTGGAAGGATTTCAGTGGCAATTGTTATAATGTGAAATTGCAGCTTATGTGCATTGCTTTGATATCAAGGACATCTGGAACCATCTGAAGGCACCCACAATGCAATCCAAATTGATGGATCCCTACACAAGGGAAAAAGCAATTTCCCCTTCCCTGGCAACCTTGACACATATGAAATTTTATGCCTTAAAATAACACTTCTATGCCTGCTCGTTTCTTTCTACTGTGTAGTTGTCTAAGGTAGATTAGAGCCAGGATGTCCACCACATCAGCATATTTTCACTGCTTGCTTTTGCCAAGAGCTGCTAGATTTTCCACTATGGTTCTCCACAAAGTAAACATCCCTGAGGAGGTACATGTCCACCTTGTTAATATTGTCCTAAATCACAATGTGGATGCATGCCAGAAATGTTTTTTTCATTGCCCCTCCCCTCCTTTATTCAAGCCACCAATCAAGTCTAACCATGATGCTGTGTGGCAACAAGAGCCCAGGCAAATCCTGAGAAGGGCATGTTTTGTAGTTATAGAAGATTGTATGTCTTCAATCTCTTGAAGAAGAGGCAGAAAGATTGTAGGTGGTGTATATGTGATTCCCATGTATAAATCTGAGGCCAAAGCTGCAGGTTTCAACCACCCAGTTGTTTCCTGAGTCTGCTGTGACTGCCTTCCTCCCAGGTCTTAATGTCAAGGTTAAGGAAGCACAATCATTCATTTCAAGTTCAGGTTCTAGTTTTTCCCTAGACTCTAGCTTGGCCTTGTCATTCTGTCAAAAGCCATGGGTTCCAAAGGCTTAGCAACAGCCACAACAGTGTCTTCTCCAAAGGCCTCTATGCATTTCTCCACAGTTTTCAGGATGATCTGTAACCTCCTGTCCAATGCCAAAAGGTGGGCTTCTGTCAACACGGGGGCAAGACGGTCTTGAAGGAGGGACTCCCTCATGATATCACTGAGCTTGTAGTCTGACTTAGCTAAAAGCTGCAGCCGTAACAAGGTGGTCTTCTTTATTCTAAAGGAAGGGAAAGACATGTGAGTCAAGCTGTTTATGAAAAAAACTCAAGATGCAAGCATTCTTATTCGTATTGGAAATATTGATGTGTCCAGTTTACAGCTGAACAGAGCACTTGACATAAAATGAAAAGCTGTTGCAAATTCCTAACCTAAGGCATATGCAATGCATGTGGAAAGTCTGCACCTGCCACTAAAAGTAAATTGGTTTGGGAAAGATCCTTGTCTGGTGCTGAGAAGATCAGGGAACCAAAAGAGATCTGGATCTCCTAGTTCTTGGTGTTCTGCAATGTTTGGTAAAGAATTGAAGCTCTCAGTTGCTTAAGAAAAGGAGCCACAGCCTAGGCACCCATCGTGAACAGTAACATGAAGAAACCCTGACATGCTCCAAAGTATATTATTGTGTGGAAGGACTATGAGCTCTACTTGAATTCTGGAAAAAAAAAAATCCTGTACAATTAAGAACAGGCTTAATTCTAAGTATAGTTCTTTTGTGCAAGGCTCCAGCAGATGAGTCTTAGCCACTGCTAAACAGGTAGCTAATGGCCTCACTTAGTATGTATATGTTTAAAAGTTACTTTGATATAAGAAGGATATTGAAACAAAGCACCTGTTTCCTAGTAACAGTATACCTGATTAGCATCTGAGCTGCCAGCTATCAAAAAGCCTTAGATGGCACTTAGAAAATCTGCATGTTGACAAAATTTCCATCTGTCAATTACAAAAGGCCACACTGCTTGGATCTGCACATATACTCCAATACATTACAGCATCCTGGGTTCTTGGGAAGAACTTAATGCGAATGAAGGCCAACACCAGCTAAAGAACTGGCAGCTGTGATTTCACATTGTTGTGTATAGTAATAACAACAACAACTATTATTTATTACATTTATATGCCACCTGACTCCCAGTGACTCTCCTGCAATGGCTTCTTCACTTAGGGAGCATTCACATTTCAATAGTCAACTTTTGGGGGATGAACAAATCTGTGAAAGTAGATGCTTTAAATGAGTGGATTTCCTGTGATGACTGAATTCCAAACAGTGTAGATAGACCTCACTGTTAATTTTCTACTCTTATTCAAACTGGATCTCATGTTAGAACACCTAATAATATATTTCTCCTGTGCAATGACAAGGAATTTACAGAGCGCTCAAAAGCAGCATGATTACTCATATCTCTTGAAACTCCATGGAGGTGTGTGTTTGCTTGTTTTTATATAACTAGGAACAACGACCTATTTCAGCTTAAGCCTAGCTCTTCCAAAGTGCAGATGATCTCACTGAAATTTCTGACAGACAACTGCTTATATCTGAACTGTGAACTTGTCACAGAGCAGTTGAACCTAAACATACAGGTTTATAAAATTAGCCTTAAAGCTGGCACACAAATCTAAGCTGGGCTCCCTTTTTGTCCATGTTCTATAACAAACCCAAAATGTGCACTGCACACAAAGCCAATTCTGTAATAAAGTCCCCCCCCCCCCCAAAACTCTATCTTTTGTACAGAATTAAGAGTTATTGGTCAGGATCAGGAGATAGAGAAAGCACAGCAGCTAAACTGAAGTGAATATGGCTTCCGTATATATTACATGTCACACAGCAAGGCAAACTCACAATACTTGGAGCAGAGTTTTTAAGGGGAAAATATTTGATATAATGACAATAACCATAAGCAACTTTAATGTTCATAAATGATTTGATGTAATTGCCCTATCCTCCTTTTAAAATATTGAGCTAGGAAAAGTTTTTGGCAGAGAAAAGGTGATTATTGCAGGGTAGGTGGGGGCAGAAGCCAATTTAGAGCATACAGACTTGAAGGACGTGTACAAGATTTACTGGCAACCCTATAATTATAAACCAGATGGTTTGCAAGGTATGAATAATGGCTTTTGAAATGAAACCTGGAGGCTCTATATATCTGTATGGCTTGAGATGATGCTTTTGACATCGGCTTCTATAGAAATGTAGAGGGAACATAGTGGAAATTGGTTAGCTGTGCTGGAGGAAGAAACCCAGAGGAAGAATAACTCTTTGCCCAACTTCTTGAAGGACCAATTGTTGATTTATATGAATTAATAAAAGAATAACCTGGAGAGGATACAGGCACTACAATTTATGAGCAAATCCGACACCCCAAAATGACTGCAGGGAGACACAAAAGAAATGGATGAAGTTTTGGTCCCTTTAGAAGCCAATAAAGTCTTAATGTTCTTGACAGGGATCAAAATGAATGCCTCAATTTCCTTGTGCTTTGATGAATAGCAGGTCTGGAAGGAAAGGGATGAACATCCAGTAAGGCTGGGAAAACTTAGTGAGTACACGCAGCTCGGAATTCGTTGTAGTCTGAGTTAGAGATAATTTAGAAAACTATCGTAGAATAATTTTCTCAAATGTGCTAGATGTTTAAAAATCAACAGAAAACACACACAAACACACACACACAAACACACACACACACAAACGTGCACACACGGGGCTGTGAACAAGTGCAACATTGTCCAAGGTGTGAGATGCACTTTTCCTGGTTCTTTAGGACTCTCTCATTTTCCAGATGGTGAATCTGAGAGATAAAGAGGAGTTGGGAAAATCCTTTGGATATTGCTCCATGTTCTAACAACTTGGACCTATTGGACTTGGCTTGTCTCATTTAGCACCATCAGGCAAAACAAGTGATTACTTGCTTGCTAGCTCCCCAGGCCACAGCCTGTAGCTTTTCTGTTTAACTAAACCGATGTGGAAAGGCAAGTACTTACATGCAACACTGTTCAAGTGGAGCCAAGATGGAGACCTCATCACGGGAATGTTTCCCAAATCTGTGAGAACAAACAAGTAAATGCCAGTGTAATGGCATAGCAAACAACCCAAGATGGTGGAAAAGAATCTGTTTTAGAGAGGTCATTAAAGAAACTGTTCAATAGGATACAAAGGGGTGGCTTGATACTGACTGAATTTGTATCCAAAATGCAGACATGGGGAGTTGGAGGAAGCTTACAAAATCAACAGATGGCAGCATCTAGCCAATGTTGGCTGAACCTGGAAACTAAACAGGGACAGTCTGATTCATATTTGGGTTTGGGACCATCTGGGAATTGTAGGGTTGTTGGCGCAACTTGGAACCAAAGAAAACATTCTGAAGAAGGATGTGATAACCCACTTATTTAAGGTTGCCAAGAAAACTACACAGATGACAGTATAAAGCATAACTGAAGGGTGTGGCTATCGTAGGGAACAAGCCTTATCTCTTGCCTATTGACTTCCCAGTCAACCTGTATAATTCTGACCATACTGCACCAGGGGCCAAGAACCCATGTGCTACATTTTTGAAACCATAGCTCCAGAGGACAATACTGCTGATCCGCTCTGCAAGTCACTTGACAATCTGTCCTGGGGGGGGGGGGGGGGGGGGATGGGTTTGCTGATTCGCTGCACAGCCTTATGCCACTAGTCATGCTGCCTCTAGTTTCATAAGCCCTGATGTCCTAAAACAGGATAGGCAACTTGCTGCTGAGCTCAGACTTTCATCAGTCCTAGCCACATGGCTAATAATGGGGATGTTGAGAGCAGCAGTCTTACAGCAGCTAAAGAGCCAGCTGTTGCCTTTCCTGCTCTCAAAGAGAGGATTTCCTATACTGTACTGATCTTCACATGTGATATTTCTGCCCTGAAAGTCCTGCGACTAAGACCAAATTACATGACTGATTAGAAGTATGTGATTGTATCTGTATGAACTGGTTTAAAATCAGCTGCAAACTACGTCCTTTGAATTGGTTCAAGTCCATATTTCAGTACTGATTGACTACCATTACTGAATTCTTCTTCTGACTTAAAGTGTGGTCTCCCTCTATCTCTCTCTGAAACCTCGGAGGGGATCTCTCTCTCTCTCTCTCTCTCTCTCTCTTATGTCTTTGACTTCTTTCCAAGATCCCATGAATTGTAGTTCAATATACATGCTCAGAATTTTCCTAACAGATATCTTTAGTGCTCCGGTTTAAAATTAATAATTTCCCAGGTTCCCCAGAAAAAACTAAGCAGCTTAAAGCCAATATAGATTGCAGAATATTGGAATGCTCATGTCAGGTACATTGATTTCCATTAATAGCTGAAAAGCGCATGTAATACCAAGTCAGCGTGTATCTAATTTAGCCCTTTCCTGCCTGGAAAGAGTTACGGGGCACATGCATGAGATCCATGAAAAGACTGAACATAACTTGCATTATCTCATATTATTTGACACACTAACTGGGGCTGCTAGTAATTGTGGTTCGGTAACATATGAAGGTCCAAAGGTTCTCCTGCAGGGGCCACAAATTTTGTTTAGTGTCGATATGAAGCTGTTGAGAGAGGCCACCTGCTTGCATGGATTCAGGTATCATTAGTATTGAAATGATATTTGTACATCCCAACCCCAGAAGATATAATCTAGGTCCTTTCCCACCCCTGGTATCAGAAGACTTCTACACCCACAGCCACCCTGCCTTGCTGGATGAAGCCTGAGGCTTCCCATTCAGACTCTAATAGCCACCAGGCAATGGGATATGATCTGGACAGCATCACTTGGTCAGGTGAGTATCTGCTAAATGTCATCAACATACTGATGATATCTGACCCTGTGTCAATGGATGACCTCATCCAGTGGCTTCAGGTAGACATTAAACAGGAGAGTCAAGAGCCTTGAGCCCTGTGGCACCCTATGACTCAGGAAGCTTGGGCTTGACTTCTTGCCCCATTAACACTGACTGAAACTGGCCATGGAGAAAGGAGGAGAACTACCACAACACTATACCTTTCATTCTCAGTCCTATAGTCAGTCCAGAAGGGTACTTTGATCAATGGTCAAAGAGAACCAGGACCAGCACCACTTCTATTCTGGTTCTGCCAGAGTTCATCATCGAGTACAATTAATGCAATCACTGTGCTATGTCCTAGCCTGAAACCCAACTCAAAAGGACCCAGATATTTCACTTCCTCCAGAGCCCTCTGAAGGTACAACCTGACCATCTTCTCAACAATATTCCCCAAAGCAGGGAGGTTGGAGAGTAGGAAAATTGTCCAAAGCCAGCAATGACTTCTTGAGGAACAGGAGCACCACTACCTCCTTCAAGGCAAGCAGAACCATCCTCTCCCTCAAGGATGAATTCACCCATCACATGGACCCAACCACATTTTTGTCAAATTCAGATTTGAAAATTCACCTTTTCAAACCCAATATGTGAAGTAAATACTAGCCAATAAACAAGTTTGGTGGAGTTGTACTCCCACACATGCGGAAGTCATCAGTTTCAGGAAAGCCAAAACACCTGGCTGCAAACCAATTCCTGGCATCCCCAGGGATGTCTGGAAAAGCTGCCAGATTCCCTGGAGATCCAGGACTAGTCATTATCAACAGTCCAGAACAAGAGGGGCAAACATTCTGGAACAGTGCAAAGGGACACCAACTGCACTATGAGCAGCCATCATGTGGCTGATTTGTTTGGGGTTTTCTGCTGTAGATGAACCTGGCCAATTACAACTTGGCATGAAATCAGTCAGTTTAAGGCAGTTTCCTGGTTTCCTACCTTCAAATAAGTTCTGGAGGAAAAAAGTGGAAAGGAATCAGGGCTGTCAGTATAGGAAACTCCTAAGCAGATAGAAGCCCTGTTTTAATCTAACTTGGGATTTTACCATGCTGCATAAGCCAATTTATGTCTGTTTATTTTTTTGCAATCTATGAACTGAAGTTCAGTTCTACCTGGAAATTGTCAAGGCTGGTTGCTTAGGTGGAGGACTCTGATAATGATGAAGTTGCCTTACCCTCTTGCGTTATCCAAATGAAGCAAAAAACCATCATCTCCAAACTTTGTAAACATCTCATAATGATGGCGGTCCATATTGCCTTTCAGAAGACAAAAAGAAGGAGCATGGAGAACAAATCCATTTCTGTATGCGTGCAAACCCACATCCAATATTTAAATATAGAAATAACCTTGGATCCACAGATTAAGAAGTGCTGACAAGTGACACCAAACCCTTTTAATGTGAGGGGACCATCAGCAACTTAAAGAGCTTACTGAAAGCTTTTGGGTCACATAGGCTGACAATTCAGGATGCAGATCCACAACTGCTTTCCTTAGCACTGATTGGTTTACTCTTTGATGCTTTCCTTATGGCCTGTGGGGTCTTCTTAGCTCAGCTTGCTATTATGCTCAAGGGGACATCTGGATTTCTCTGGATGGGGTGCAGAGACTGTGCTCACACTGAGTTCCTGGTTATACACACATATTAATGCATGAAATGTCACTATTTTCTCCCAAGGACTAGAATGGCTGTCAGTATAATTCCATGTCTGCCTGCTCAGAGGAAAGCCTCATTGAGTTATTTTAGATTTATAGCCAGGCCAGTGTGTATACAAACAAAATTGCAGCCTCATTTGTTCTGTAGTTCTGTTAATGTTGCATGTTGTGGTCAATTAGGCATTACTGCTTTTCTGCAATCCAGCCAGACACCACTATTATAGGAAAGGTTATTAATCTTCATGGCATGTACACCGGATTCTTTATTAGGACTCCAAGCTTCTCAACTATTTAATTATTCCTTCCTCTGGCTGAAACTCAGAGGAGGTAAGATATGTGGCCTCACGACGAGGCCAAGACTTTGACATTTGGAAATCTGGTAAAAGCATGCAATATCCTTTTGCCCAGCAGAGGAACAGAGCTGGAATGCTTTTACTACATAGTGCAAAGCCAGGAAATATAACATGGGCTCCCACCATCTCCTGATCATTGTTTTTACATTCTTCTAATTTAAAAATAGGAACACTGCACAGAAAAGTACTCCCTGAAACATACAATAAGCCCTACATAAATGCAAAAGCTCCTCTTATTAAATAAGAATAGACAGCTGCAACCCAATGCTTTGTTAGTAAGTGCATCCATCTGTTTTGGAGGAAAAAGCAACCCCCAAAATTGAGGGGGTAGAGGGCATCTTGGGAGGTAAAAGTGGTGATGAGAAGCAACTTTATCAGTTTGCCTTCTGATAAAGGGGGATTTTGAAGGCCATCATAGCATGGCAACCGTTTTCTGAGTGTGTTCACAATATGGTCTCAAAATTCCAAACAATCGACCGGAGACATTTGCTACATGTCATAAAATGTGTTTGCTTCCTGCTGCCAAATTCTGGAAGGATACACAATGGAGTGTGGTAGAAAATAAGCCTTTTAAGAGGCTTGTTCTGACATGTACCTTTGTGTTTTAGTTGTTAACATGGAGACAAAATCTAGCACAAACAATTCAGAATATCAACGTCATTGAGAAGTTAATGCACTGGAATGGACTGTAGTAGACAAAATCTCATGACACAAGATGCATCTGATATTTTTGTAAAATGCCATGACCTGTTTTTATTGTAATACCAAAATTGGAATGAATGAATGAATGCTCTGCCCCTTTTGCATGACTATATAATATTCAAAGCACAGAGAAAGTATATGAGTCAGTGCATCTGGACTGGGATCTTAGGAGGGGGACTACAACTTTAATATTTGCTTCTGCTATGTTTCTATCAGTTATAATTTGGCCATTGCAAACAAACAACAACAACAACAAAACCCATATTGAGAGTTTGGATGCTGAAATGATGGACTATGATGGACTAACATGCTCACTTCCCTGTTCAGTCAAGAAGCTCACTGGATGACTTGGGGTCAGTCGCTGATTTTCAACAAGAATGTTGTGAGGATAAAATAGAACTAATTACCTAATGAACCATCTTTTGCTCTTGGAGAAAAAGCAAAAAAACCCCAAAGGCATTGCTTTCCTCTGGATTGTGGATATAGGACAAGGGAATTAGCCAACCCCTTCCACTCCTCGTAACGAAACCGGAGAATCCAGCTCAGAAAACCTGACCGTTTCTAAATTTGTCAGCAAGTTACTAAGCTAGCTGGATTTCATGCCACGTGAGAAACTTCTACTCTTGGACAGAACACATCCGCTCCACGAGATTCACAATCCCTCCCTCTTCCTACTTACCTATTAAGAAGTCAAATATGGCCATGTCAATGATATTGAGTAGCCGACTGCCACTGCTGTAAGGATAAATCTCCTTCACGGTATTGCAGTAGAGAGGATTTACTTCCCACCTGGGAGGAAGATCAAAGAGAGGAGAGTTGCTGCTGGCATCAGCATCTTCCCCATCTGTTGTCTTTTTTGAAACAGAGGGAAAAGGTGTTGGTGCAACACTGGAATCTAAAATGAAGTGGATGGTTTGGGGTTTCGCCTGCCATATGAACAAACGCTTGAGTCCAAGGCCAAAAGTGAATGCAAATAGTAGGCAGGGATTTTCAAAGCCGTAAAGATTTTAAAACATCTAAAGAGCATCTGTGGAGAAGCTTGAGTACCCTCTACTCTGTTGGGAAAAGGAGTTTAATTCTCCTCCTCTCCCCTTCACAGTCATTATAATAATGGGTTCTCCAAAGTTGGCATTTATATTTCAAGGGAAGCCTACATCTAATGTTACTGATTTTTCATATTTATATCTTGGCGTTCTTCCAGGAACTTAAGGCAATGCACACAATAGGTGTTTGTTTTTTTTTTTTTTTTTTGGTCCAGTTTTATGCCACTGTAGCAACTCAAAGGGGTGGCCCCAAACCACCCAAAGAACTTCCATTGGCTTAGGTAGAAGCTATTTTGTCCTGACTGGGTTAGGGAGAAAATTTAATTTTCTACTCTTCACACATGCACTTGCATATGCACCCCCCCCCGCCCCCATATAAGCTTCTGTTTAGGCTTCCTAGAAGCTGTTATTTTACAGTACAAAATGGAAACAGTATTTATTGCTAGCCTGGCTATGGTGGATAGGAACTTTGGTCCAAATACATCTGGTTGCTTCTGGCTGGGCCAGACTAGGAATGCAAAGTAGAGGTGCGAGCTAAACCTGGGGAATTGAATGAGACTTACCCTCTGGTAACTGGGCCTAGGGTTACATCCTTGTTTCTCTTCTGCATAAACAGAAGTACCAAGGGCCTTTCAGAAGCTGCCATGCCCAATAAATGTAGCACAGCATCTCTCTGAAGGCATTGCATGTGTATGACCAGTAAGCAAAAAGAGAGGTCCATTTACCCACTTACTCCTCTTTTCCAGCAAAGGTGTAGGATCGGATCCATGGGTTGGGGATGGAGATTCGCGGTGCCAAGTTGAGAGAAGGCAGGAAAACAGACAGGGACCCTTCCAATAAGTGAGGGTTCCCACAGACGGCGTATTCTGTTTTGCACATATAAGGGCACTTCGCAAAGAAACAGACATTGCTGGCTATGGAGAGAGTAAGCTGAATGAGACACAAGACTGATGCAGGGACACAGGTGTCCATAGCAAGCCACAGTGATGTTAAAATTAAAACACACTCATCATGATGTCATTGTGCAAATGGGGTGATTATATAATGACACTGTGACACCTGATGCCTGTAAGTTGCATCATCATCATCATCATCATCATCATCATGCCCTTAAAACTTGGTTTTGTCATCGGGCCTGGGGATCCCATGAAAATGTGGAGCCTGTTAAATGGTTGCATTGTATTTAAGCTTTGAATGCATTCTCTTGTGTTTTTATTATCGTTTCCAACTGTTTTAATTGTATTTTTAATGTTTTTGTTTTTAATTATTTTGATTTTTTTTGTTTTGTTTTTTGACTATGTACGCCACCCAGAGCCACAACATGAGATGTGGGGGAGGGGGGGGCGCTATATAAATTTAATAAATAAATAAATAAATTTGTACAATGATGTCATGATGCATGTGCCATTATTCCCCCCTCCCTCTGCTCCCCGATACCCACATGCAAGGATACACAATTTTTGTAATGCGTGGAAATAAATTCTATATAATTTTGACTCAGCCATCATACAGCATTATTTTAGCCTTTAAAACTGCAGAATGACAAAACCTTGTGTTACAAAGCAGCTTTTTGAATATCTACTTAGTACAACTATGAGGTCTGAACACTGCTGAGAGATTTAGCTACCAGGGAAGTATGATAGGGCCAACACTTGCTCTCCCTGATAGTTAAATATGAGGGGCCTGTCCAATATGACAAATTTTCTGGGCACACTGGTTTTATATAAACAGGCAGAGTATCCATGGACACTTATTCCTGGAGAATATGTCTGTCTCAGTTTTGTTGCATACATCTACTTGGTGAATTCAGGTTTCCCAGATACATTTAAGCTGATCAGGCTTGTTCTAGTAAAGCGAGAACACTGACAAAACTTGCTCCCATTTTGCCTGGTTAAACCTGGAGCAATCTCACACATGCAAGTGGAGAACAAGAGCAAGTTTTGAAAGAAACTTATGGGTATAGCCATGTGTCAAAACTCCTCACCAATCACAACAGCTGGCATGGCCTATAGTAGCCTGTCCATAACTTTTGGAATGGCTGTCAAAATCTACATGTTCTTGTAGTGAAGTTCAGTATTTTTATCTATTATTTTAAATTCGGAGTCTGTTGTGTGCTAAGAGAAAAGCTAAAGATGACCAGTCTACCAGTAGCGCTGAAAAAAGTCTCAGGAAAGTATTGAAAGTGATACATCTTTAATAAGTGAAACATTTATTCTTGCCCATCTCTAACTCAAATAGAATTAGTTTTATTCATGTGGAGGTGGGGTACAGAAATTTATTTGTTATTTGAGGAGGTGCAGGGGTGGTATCACACATTTTGAACATCCCAATTTAAGGTGGTGCCACTGTCCTTTCAAGACATAAATAGCTTATGGCATTACTATTTAAGGAACCTTTGAAAAATGCCCCCACTGTCACAGATTCATCTTCCTAGAATATTGGAGCAAGCCTTCTGTACAATTTCCAGAATATGGAATGGATTTGTTCCATATGGCCCCATGTAAATCTTTACAGTACAGAAAATCTGCAAAGACACTGCTCTTTCACCCGGGATTTTACTGTAAACTGATTATAGTTCTTAATTTATGTTATGTTTTCAACTGTTTATAGTCTGTTTTTGTTTTTAAAATGTGCTAGCCACCTTGAGTACTCACCAAAGTAGAAAGACTGAATATAAATCAATTAAACAAACTTACCTGGGGAAATAAAAAAGACACTTTGTAAGATTTCATTCTTTGTGATTTCTAAAATTTCTTTTGTGATGTTAATCATTCTCCCAGCTGCTGGAGGGACGCGACGGAAATCCAGAATTCTGCAAAGGGCAAAATGTATCGCTCAGACTAACACAAAGAAAGAGATCTTTCTTTTATCCACAGGAAGAGAATTGTTAAACTGCATCTGGTCAATCTGTTTATTATATCTTGTAAACATTAGCATACAATTCTTGCTAGATTAATCTGTCTGCTGTAATGGTATAATCCACAGTAGTTTCCTGTATGGAGAAAGTGCCTTTTCCATGTTGTTCAGAACATCCTTTGAAGGTTGTCTGTGCTTCACAGAAAGGTCTACAGAACCTGAACATGTTCTGAATACTGACAGCCAGCTGAGAATAAGGAACAGGATGGCCAGGGCTGTACGCTTACACTGTACTGCCGGTTCAGTTTGGATAGGATTAACTCTTCTGCAAGGTATTCACAGAATAGGATCCTTGTAAATTGGACTTGAGAGTCATCTAGCAGGCTGGAGATGACTGTGCCCATTTGAATTCCCTGACCAGGCTTCTGTCAAATTGCCAGCCAGCTAGAAAATGGCAACTGTTTTCTATTGACATACGTATGAGTAATTCTCGGTTTCAGGAAAGTTCAAAGTAAACAAGTAGCCCTAATGAAAACGAAAAAAGGATAAGGTAAACCCAAGTGCATAACTGTACAGAAGGCTGAAAATATAGTATCCTTTGTATCTTGATCAGAATGTAGGACTTGTGAGTTCAGTGTGGGCCCTTCATATTCTGAAGTTGGGTGTTGACACATTTCTGCAAGCAAGGATGATGGCGCTGGAGTAGTAACTTAAACATCTCCCAAGAAGAGGTTTCCATGGTAGGCCAGTGAAGAAGTTCATGCACTGTAGGCAAATGATCCACGTTTTAATCCCAGGGAAGGGTGAAATCCTAGAGTTGTTCTCATAAGAATGGTGGGCACTGAAGGACCAGGCTGGAGAAGGCCAGTGAGCCAAATATTGGGCTTGATTAACTTTCTTCCAATCTGATACCCTACTGGTATGTTATTGTAAGACTGCATCGCAGAATTTTCAGACATTCTGACTGAGGATTCTAGGAGTTATAGTCCCCATACATTTGCAGAATACATTGAGAAAAGCTAAGCTGGATGCACCAGTACTCTGATTCTTCTTTTGTTGTGAGCATTTCCAGGGATAAAACTTAACTGGACTGATCAGATACCAGGAGAATTAGGGCATCTTGAACTTTAATAATGGCATGGATGGAGAAATTTTACCAGGAGCAGCTGTTCCAACCTATTATATTCCCAGAAATTTAAAACTTCTATTCATGCTGGACAACTTTCTCCTCCATTACATTAGATCACAATTTAAGCATGTTATATAAAAGGTCTAGGATTATACAAATTACACAAAGAAAGGAATAATATGATACGATATTCCTAGCTCAAACAAAAAGGGTTTTATGTCTTATGCCATAAAAGATTTAATATTGGTAGTTGCTACTAATATTTAACAACTGTTATCTAGATCGAAGCAACCCCTCACTTATTCATCCTGTAATAGCTTTAACTACACAGGGGGAGTTGATTACAATCCTCCATAACCTTGTATACTTCTGCTTTTGTTCTCCTCAGCACTTAAGCAATTCATTAAGATATTTGATGGATGCTCAAGTGAAACACTAAATGCCAGCAAGAGTACTTCCCAGCATGTAAATGCTGAGAAGTCTGGACTGTCTGGGCTGATTCATACCATAAAGCTTGCAAATGATGCTCTGGGGTCTGGTGCTTTTTTGTCAGCAAAACAAAATGGTATTGGTTAGTGAGTCAGTAACCACCGAGCAGACTAACTAATAATGGGACAGAAGCTTCTTAAAATGCCCCCAGGAATTGGCTTTTTAGCCTGCTGTTTGCAGAATATAAACACAAATAAAGCTTAGGCTTGGATCTTGATCAGGACTCCTGATGCATCAAACCAAGCATGGTCTACCACCAGCCATGCATCATGACCTGCCAGATGCATCTCAAGCAGAAAAAAGGGAGTTTAACAGAGCTTAGAATAACTGGCTAGTATAACACAATCAGCTTGGTGGGAAACATGTGCAAGATGTATGTCGCTGGAGACTATAACCAATTTCTCTTCCTCCTTCTTTGTTAAATTTCATTTGTAATGTATGAAATATGAACATGCAGTGGGTTGTATCTAGTGGCTGTTCATCCACTAGTGGAATGGGATCTGCCAATGGAATGAATACAATGAATTCTCTTCTACAAGGAGAGGGGATGCCACAGTCTTAGAAAGAAGCTAATATTACTTTAATACTCAAAGAGGGAAAGGTCTTAAACTTAACCAAAAATTACAGACCAATATCATTACTAAATAATGATTATAAGTTATTTAAAGATGGGATGGGATGACCTGAAGCAAGAAATGACCTTTCAAATAATTAATACTAATGTATTAAATAATTATTTATTAAACCTGCATGAGGCCTGACTCTCAATGACCCTGAGTGGCTCACAACAATCAATCCAATAAATTACAATAAAATCAATAAAACATAAATAAAGATAAAAGTAATGCCTATGGGAACCATCTGAAAAGCTTGTACAATGTTTTAGAAGAAAGAGCTGTAGTATAAAATTATCAGGAAAACTGTATTTCCCTTCCTATGACAACCCCATGCTTAGAACATATGCCACCACAATTTTTTCACATGCCCTTTTCTGCACTGCACAGACAGATGATACACCTGCACCTTAAAGATGCTCAAAGAACACGAAAATCTTCAAATCATGCAGAGCATGAAATGATGAGGTAACTATAATATTCCCTGCCTATTGTTTTCCTCAGCTGTCTAGGGAAGACTTCCTCATTCAATAGGAGAATGTCATTTTCCTTATACCAGTGGTAGGAGTCAGCAACCCCCCAACGTGCGTGGCTAAAGGAGAGTGATATTGGGAACTACAGTAACTTGGAGGGCCACAAATTTCTCACCCCTGTTCTAGACTAATCGGCACTGGTTTTAGGCCAGCCCTATCTGGAAAGAGAGGAAATTAAACCTGGGAACCCTATATATAGAACCTAATTTCTGTGCCAAGTGACAGTTTTCCCCAATAATGTTGCATTTTTCCCCCCCTAACCCTTGAGGTTTTCAACTGCCAAAAGGGAAGAGCAGACCAGAACGTTCACTCCGCGATGCAAACAGCTCCAAAATTCATGGCCAGTGACTAAAGGCTGGACACAGAGGCCCAAGTGCCGCCACGTTTGCTACTCACGGGGTTTTGTCTGTGGCGTTTATTGCCTTGCCCCTCTGAAGTTTCAGTCAAGCTCCTTTCTAAAGAAATAGCTCAGGAGGTAATTGTTACTTGGGAATTACCTGTCCAGGTGGAAGGCAGCTATTTCTGCATTGTGTCTCTGAAAGTCAACAAAGTAAAAAAAATCTTCTGGAGTCTCCTCATCTCGTTTCTGTCTGAAAGAAAGGTCCAGGTAATTAGCAGAAAGGATTCTGCGTAAAACAAAGTATCTTTCTGAGTCTAAGAAAAGTGTTTGACATTAGCTAGAAAGAGGGTTTCCTTCCTTTCCTTTCTGCTTTTCAATGGCTCAGACCTTTTTCATTCCTTTCAACAGTCTCTTCTAGATCTGTCTCAGGCCCAAACTAACCACCACCACCACCACCAATATGTTTAATAAATACTGAGAAGACTAAATAGCCATGCTATGGAACTGGAGTCCCATTAGGGGAAGAATAGCAAGACTTTCCTCTGTTGCCCCCCAATGTGATCTTGATCCAGGTTGGCTCTTTACCTAGCTGAGGACGAAACTTGCTATTCACATCAAAAGGCCTGAGTCAGTGTCAGGACAACAGAGCAAATGATCAGAAGCTACACTTCCCTAGTCTGAACTGCCTCATCCCGTATCTGCTCCTCATTCTCTCCATAATTTTCAAATGATGTAAATGGTGTCACATCCAGTTGGCACTTGGTTGGCCAGCAACTTCTAGGTGTCTTCTTGCATAATCATTCTGAATCCCCCTCAAAATCTTTGCACAACCTTAGCCCTTCAATGAAGTTGGGAGGAGCCAAGTTGAGATTGTATGCAGCTTCCAAACCCCTTTGTGTGCTTCGTCCTTTCCGCACAATTGCTGAAAATCAGCAGCACAGTTTTGGGCATGCTGAGGTGGGAAAACATGAAAAGTATACTGCAAGCTCTAAGGCAGACCTTATGTATTTTTTAAAAATTATCACTCTACCTACCACCACAAATAAAAACAAAATTCTAATCCCTGCTTCTTCTCCTCTTGTTATCTTTCCACCAACTTTTGCAGCTCTGCCAAATATACTTTAGTGAAGAGGACTCTGGCCATTTTCAAGTGATGCAAACTTACCTCATTGGTTTGAACATGGCTTTCCCAAAGTCCTGGAACCGCAAAACAAGTTTCAGGTGCACCCCGCTGGGTTTCACAACTGAGAAATGAAGAGAGATTCAGCTCCTTGTTCAAATGTTAAAACCAAAGGTTTTGCTTAGAAACTTGACAGGAAACATAATGTTTGTCTCAAGAAAGAATTGGAATGAGCTTATGAAGTGTGGCATATGATGATCAGTATCTAGATCACCTCTGTATGTTGGAAGCCATTTACTATGTTGAGTAATATGCTATATTAATTTTACATAGAGATGATCTAACCTATTAATGAGCACTATGTCTCAAAATATGTCCAACCTACAACTTTGAGAATTCCCTGAAAATTTCCAATATAATGTTTCTTCATTTTTCTTTTACTGGTCTGTATTGTATTTGTATTGCTTTGCTTATATTGCGCTTAGGCACACATACAATAAAAATAGTAAATATTCCACCACTGCTTCCTCACATCTCTCATGTTTTCTCTAGACATTTTCTTGGACCTCTGTATTTGCTTAACTGAGTTGGACTAAACTTTGCCATTGTATTAACAAGTTACATGTTGTGTTGCCCTGGCATATTTTCATGGAGATATTGGAAAACCTTGCTGATTCCAAATGGTACACAATGGCTGGGCTTGTACAATACATGCAATTTGAATCTCAGGTTAACAAAGCACAGTTCCTGTGTTCATGTAACTGGCCAAACAAATCATATCATAGTTTAACATGATGGTCTGATTTGCTCAAGATGCGAAGACAGTGGCTGGATATCATGCTGAATCACAGGTTACCCAACTTCATTTTAGCTGAGTCTAAGAAGTTAGGTGAACCTAATCATTCAGTTTGGGGAGAAGTTTGCCAAACTTCTGGGCCCCCTGTGAAGCTAAAACAAGTTTGGGTGAAAGAGGTGGGTACAGAGGCCAGCAATTCAGAAGTGTCATCTTGAATTTGTTTTCTTCTGTCTTTTTTTTTTTTTTTTTAAGAGAGAGACAGGGAGAGACACCTTTGGGGATTTTTATTTCTTGGTTTGTTAAATTTTTACCCCACTTTCCTCTAAGAGCTCAGGTACCATACATAGCACTCCTTACTTCAATTTTCCCAGAACACCAATCCTGTAGAGTAGGTTATTCTAAGAGATAGTGGCTGGTTGAAAATTACCCAGTGAGTTTCTGTAGTTAAATATGGCTTTGAATCTCAGTCTCCCAGGGCCTAGTCCAATAGGCTTCATTAACAATAAAAATGTGGGAGACAAACTCAGAGCAATACCCTAATAAAGACATGTTCCCATGTATATAGCTCTGAAAAAGGGAGGGAGGGAGGGAGGGAAGTAATCCTTCTTCCATCCTGTTTGTTATCTATAGTAAAACTAAGACATTTGTGGAGGTGTGAGAATTGGTAGTGTAGAAGATTGGATTAAGACCAAGGGGAGCCAAGCCCAAATCCATATCCACAAAGCAAACTCTCTGGATGACCCTGGGCTTATTGTGACTTGCCAAATCTATCTCACATGTGTATCATCCTAAGCCTCTTAGAGGAAGAACAAGACCACAATACTACTACTTGGCGGCCATCATATTTCCCATTTAAACTGGTGATCCTAGTCTGGAGAGGCCATCTATCAAAGCTCCCCCAAAAAGTGGACTTGGGGGAAGAGAATGAGAGAAACTGAAACTAGCGGGGTGGGTAGTGGGTTGTGTGTGCGTGTGTTGTATATTTCATTTTTCAAATCCCTCTTGTTAATATTGGCTGATCTCAAAAAAGCTAAGCAGGGTCACACCTTGCCGGGAACTCAGTAAGAGACCTGAGGAAGTCCCAAAGCTGCTGGCTAGTCAAAAACATTCTGGAAGGCCATGAGCACCAGTCCCAGACTTTTGCCAAGAGAACCACACAGAGGGATCCATGCAGTCCCCAGGAGTTGACCTTGGCTTGAGAGAGTCTGCTTTTATTTTTACGATTTAATATTAACTCATTTTGGAAGAGGTTTCTTGCCTGAATGCACTACTATTAGTGTACAATCAAGTGTTTTAAACTCCTAAAAGCTGTGGGGTGCTTTTAGTCCAATAAGAATTATTGATTTCTACGTACATTCAAGGTATTTAAAGGAATCCAGGATTCACCATTATTGATCCAACTTGAAAATGCAGTGTTCAAATGATGTACTGTTGGTATATTTCTTTATTTATCATATTTATATAACTGCCCATATCACATAAAAGTATACGTCACCAGAGAAATTGTCTAGAATGTATAAAAGTACTTCAAATTTATGTTGGAAGTGTCAACAACATGAAGGGACATTTTACCATGTTTGGTGGATGTGTAAAAAAGCTAGAAAGTTTTGGATACAAATACATACACTAATTCAGAAGGTTTTAAAGACTTATATACAACTGAATCCAGAGGTTTTTCTTTTGGGACTGATGGACAGACAGCTGAAGAAAAGTCATGGAACTTTGTTTTTCTTTATGACAACTGCAGTGAGATTGCAGATTATATGTTAAAAAGTGGAAAGATTCAGCATTACCCACAATGGAGGAATGCTTGGTGAAGATGATGGAATTTGCAGAGATGGCAAAATTGACTTCCTTGATTAGAGAAAAAACATTATCTACTTATATTGCTAACTGGAAACCCCTTATAGATTTTTTGCATGAAACAGAAAAAAACAAACTTATGATCTGTGGTTTTGAGGATTAGAAAAAAATTAGATAATAGAAAAAAAGAGAGCTCTCTCTCTTTTGTAATCATAGAGTAAGATGTAACTTTGTAATTATATTTGCTGCAAGGAAAATCAGAAGAAATATTTCTATTTTTTTTTATTCTTTCTTTTTGGAGTTTTGTCTTTTTTCTTCCTTTTCTTTTCTTTACTTTAGTTTTAGTTAGCTTTTATCTTCTTTTTAAAACTTATAGATAGATAGATAGATAGATAGATAGATAGATAGATAGATAGATAGATAGATATGAAAATGCAGTGTTCAAAGTGAGCTGGGTCAACTTAGTAGGAGCTCCATTTCTGTTAGAAGATGAAGGAGGAAAGGCCATTTGCTTGATTTCTCTTTCTGGCTGTAGCCTTCGTGCCTCCTGACAAACTGCTACAGAGGGGAGGGGAGCCTCAGAGCAGGATGAGCACGCTTGCATCCCCTTGAAGAGGAGAAGAGGGATCAAGGAATGTATGTCCTTCCTTCCTTCCTTCCTTCCTTCCTTCCTTCCTTCCTTCCTTCCTTCCTTCCTTCCTCCAGTAGATTTCTCTCAAATCCCAGTGCCCCTCGATCCAGTTCAAGGTCAGTTTAAGAGATCTGATACTGGTTAAACAAATGCACAGCAAGCCTTTTAATAGCTATGCAATTCTGAGGGGAAATTACATCACAGCACTAGAGTTGCTTTAAACATTTAGGGCTGGGTGAGATAGACCCCTAAATAAAGCCCAAGGGGAATATTGAGGACTTGGCTAATACAACTTCTTAATACAACTCCATCAGCCCCCACCACCAAAAGGACTCCTGTGACACATTGGTCAAAAACGGTAGCAGACAGAGTAGCATTTCACCTACTTTGGGAGCAGTCACAGGCCCCTAGCAAGGCTTTCTCATCCGGGCTGTAATCTGGAACGAAAAAGAAAACCTCGGGATGTTTTCTTAGAAGGAAGGGAGACAGATGATAGAAAGCATGTAAATGCCCTGGCAATAGCAGGACTGCGACGTTCCATACAAGATGGAAGGGGCACTAGCTGGCAAAATGAAATCATGGCATCACTGACATGAGTTTATGAATTGCACATTATTTGCACGGTGATGTCATCAGGTGCATGACATCATGGTGGCTTCTCTCAAACCTTAGAGCAGGTTAAGAGAGGGGGCATGTGAAAGAAGTTTCCTGTGGGATACATTCAGGGTTTCAGTGCAAGTGCTCTGAAGTGAAGAACATTCTACTATATCCTACAATTTCCCCCCCCCCCCCCCATATTGGCAAGAGTATGGAGACGAGTGAGGGTAGAAAGGGCTTCCCGACCAGAATTTTCCCCTCCAAGAAATCCTCTCTCTTTCAGGGGCTTTGGATTGCACTCTCAACTTCCTTTTGAACAGATCCCCTTAAGCGGTTCCTGCCAATTATGTGTTTCTTTTCGTTTAATGCTACTTGATGCTTTTTGTTATCTACTTGTCACAAAAGAAATAAAATAAAAATCAAAGGAACCCCCACTAATTAAAGTGTCCATTCCTCTATATGAACAGACATTGCTACTGTAATAATTAAGGCAGTCTTCTTCAAATAGATTGGAGTACACTGTTTGTTTGTTTTTTCAGACTGAGGGCACTTTACTTGAATCTTGTCTTGGGAGTCATACCCCAAAGAGAAAGGGGGGACACAGATGTCTGGGAAAAGCTACAATGATGGCATGTACCCAATGACATCATCATACAAATAACTTGTAATTCATAAACTCATGTCAGTGACATCACAATACCAACAGAATGCATGATTATGTCATGACAGGTGTGCCATCATTTGCCTTCCCTTGTCCCTCCCTGCAGATGGGATCAGGACAACACTTAAGATTATTTAACTACATTTACATGTATTAAAACATCCAAGGTCTTCTGACCCTATGCAGCCCTGAGATACAAGTTGGGATCCCAGGAAATTGACTATTCATAACTAATTCACAGCCCTATTTGTGATCTGAGCATGAAGCTCAAGAACATGAATGGTATGTGGCTGACTACCAGAGATTCTAACTCTTGATGCATCCTAGTGGTCATCTGGATTAGTTTTGCACCCCAGATCTGGTAGCCTTTAAGAACAATTCAAAGCATTACTTACCCGCACTGATGGTACTAAGCTCCTGTGTGTCCTGAAGGAGCCGGTCAACCATAGGGCTGGCCCGTGGATACAAGGCATGGCGACTGATTCCCAGATGGAACTGGAGCCAGCTTGCCTCCTGTCTGAGCTGAATTACTGAACCCAGGGTTAGGTTGCGTTCTTCTCTGTAAACCTGGTGTCTTCTGAAATACATGGAGCAGAGAACTTGTGTTTACCTAAATATTAAAAATCACTTCAAAGGAATTCTTGCTAATAGTAATGATG